TTTTTTTGTAATAACCCTGAAATGTGTGTGTTTTGTTCATGCCAAGACCTGATTTACATATAAAGTAAATAAAATACAGGAAGATACACTCTCTTTCACACTTTGGTAATAAACAAATAACCATCATAACTTTCTCTTTTGGCATTTAAACTTTAAATAGAAAATATCAACATTTTAAATTGTAGGTACAGTAAAACCTTGAAATAATCGACTAATGCCGGGGAGGGGTGGGTGTCCATTAAAGCTGAAAGTCCAGTCCTAGATGGTTTGGCTCAGTGAATAGAACGTGGTCTGCGGACTGAAGGGTCCCGGGTTTGATTCCAGCCAAGGGCACATGCCTGCGTTGCGGGCTTGATTCCTAGTAGGGGGTGTGCAGGAGGCAGCTGATCAATGATTCTCATCATTGATGTTTCTATCTTTCTCTTCCTCTCCCTTTCTCTCTGAAATCAATAAAGCTATATTTAAAGCTGCTAGTCCATTATATAATAAAGTAGGTTTTTCAAATGTGTATGTTAAAAAATTGACAAATTATTAGTTTACCTGTTTTTACTTATGTAGACACATTTGTGTAATTAAAATTAAGTATGTATGAGAAATTTATTTTTCTATATGTGTTACTGTAATTTTAAATTTATACTGAATAGGTCATAGGAAATGTGTGCATTAACCAGTCATCAAATGCACACAGCTGGGGCGTGGCTTAGTGCATATGGGAACATTGGCAGGCAGGAGTTAAAACTGCTGCAGAAAGTCAGGCCCTAGACAACAACCAATTACCACATGCAACGGAGGTGTGATCATGTGCTGATCATTCCAAGAACATTGTTTATGAGCAGTGACACTTGGATTTAAGCATGTCGACTATAGTTGTAGATAAGAAATACTTATTTATGTCTGGGAAATTACTACAGTGTTTTTCAACGTATGGTCTATTTGCTAAAATTTGTAAAAAAAATAACAGTGAATTAATAACAAAAAAAATAACCAGTTTAATTATAAGCAGATCTTGGTTAAAAGCATTTAATTTATTTACTTTTTAAATATGTTTTTATTGATTTTTTAGAGAGGAAGGGAGAGGGAGGGAGAGAGAATCATCAATGATAAACATCTATCAGCTGCCTCCTGCACACCCCCCACTGAAGACTGAGCCTGAAACCTGGGCATGTGCCCTGACTGGGAATCAAACTGGTGACCTTTTGGTTCATGGGTCAATGATCAACCACTGAGCCACACTGGCAGGACAGTTAAAAGCATTTTAAAATTAATGGTGTTAATTTTCACATATGACATACAGACCAGAAATTTTGCCTGTTAAATCTGAAGTCTGTTAAATCGAGGTCCACAAAATCGAGGGTTTACTGTATGTTAAGAATTCTTAGTGGTCTTTCTTGTAATGTTCGTTACCCTTTGATTTCAATACTTGTTAGCTATATAATATTTAGCCTTCGTGTTTAGGGTTGACGTGAGTCATGCCTCAGGATCTGAAATGAGGAAACTGTGTACAATTCTCTAGTGAAACTGCTTGAAATGTCACTCATTGTATTTTTAATGCTACTTGTAAATAATGTGTGTTCTAGCTGTAACCTAAATTTTATTCTTTAAGATTTTTTAATTTAAAAAATATTTTAATACAGTTTACATTTAATATTATGTTAGTTTCAGGTATACAGCATAATGGTTGGACATTTATATAATTAAATTTTAATTCTTTAAGGAGATTCTTTGTAACAGATCAAGATACACACACATGCATTCGCACACACAGTCACATACAAATACATATGACTTGCCGAAAACTACACATACATATGACCTGCTGAAAACTACATATGCATATGATCTGCTGAAAACTGTACATGCAAATAACCTGCTGAAGAAAACTACATCTGCATATAACCTACTGAGAACTAAGTGTAGACCATACTTGGGTTAGACTACTCTGGGGAAAGTATTGTTTTTCTCTTACCTTTACCACATGGTTACATGTAAATGGCATAATCGTTGTCTCTAGTGCTCTATTGCCAGCATAAACCACCTTTCATTTTCTTTTATCAAAATGGCCTGGTGTATGAAATTCGTGGACATTAAAAGGGGATTAATTAGAGGAAATATTTTAATATTGCTATTTGCCCTTTCTCTATAATAGAAGTGTCAACGATGAAAGAAAATTCATAAAATGTATATGAAAATCTTCCTCCTATCAGAGTCTGGGGCGCACCACGGGACCCAGAGTCAAGTCCCTGCCCACCCATGTGAGCCTTGAAATCGTGCAAGACCCAGATCCGACCGGCCCCGCCCCCGTCAAACCCGCTGGGCAGGGTTGCAGCCTCAGGTACACCTGCCCAGCGCCGGGTGG